AAATAAAACCACAAACTCTAATTTATCCCTAATTTATGCTCTTAGCTGCTCGTTGCTCAGGAGGACTACACAGAAGCTCGTTGCTCGCTGGACTCGATCGACAGAGGCTTTCAGTCGCTGCTCGCTGGACTCGATCGATCGACAGAAGCTCGTTGCTCGTTGGTCGTTGCTCCTACAGGATCGACAGGTTAGTCTTCTTCTCTCTTCTTCTTCTCTTTTTTTTTTTTTTCTGTCTGTTAGTCTCCTTCCTCACCGATTCTACTGTTTTTTTTTTCTTCTGATCACATGTTCTGTCTTTTGCTCCCTTCCTCACCAATGTTTTTTTTTTTTTTTAAATTTTTTTGATCACATTTTTTTTTTCCAGATAAGCAATGCTCCGAACAATATTTCTTTTTTTCCTTTTATTGATGTCTAGTCCATATGAAGATCCCACACAAAAGTCATGTGAATGTGAACAATATGTCTTTTTTTTTAAGCACAACTTGTTGCTCGTTGGATTGATTTCTAAGTCTTTGAGATAGTTTCTTTAGTTGTTTGTATTGTGTCTTATGTTTTTAAATATTAGGATTTGAGATATTATTAGTGTTTGTGAATTTAAATGTTTAAGCTATGACTGTTATTAAGATTTGAGATATTATTAGTGTTTGTTTTAATTTAAATGTTTATGGTTTTACTTGCATTTAAATATTTAGTATATATAAAATTAGAACTTAGATGTGTATAAGTAATTAAACTAAAATATTTATTTATTTTTTTAACTGTTCGCTTCGCTTCCCGCTTAGGCATTGGGAGCCTTGATCGCTTCGGTTCGCTTTATGCCTTAAATAACACTAGGCGAGGTTATCTCGCCTGGAGGACCCCAGGCGAAGCGAACGTGAGCGAAGCAAAAAAAAAAGCGAAAAAAGCGTTCGCGTAACGCTTAAGTGCAAGGCGAAAAAACGACCGCTTTTGTTATGAGAAGCGAAATTGTTTTATTTTTAATTTGGACAGTTGGATTGGGCGATTAGAAAAAAAATTATAAGATGTGATACACCGAATTATCCCCTTATCCAATAAATACAAACTAAACCCTAATTTAAATCAGATTTTTCGTTGGTCGTTGCTAAGGCTGAACTCCTACATACGATCGTTGGACTCGCTAGACTCCTACACCTGATTGCTGGACTCGATCGATAGAGACGATCGACTCTCTGTCGCTGCTCCTAAGGTTTCTTCGCTGCTCGTTGCTCACACTGGAGGCCGGACAAAGTCTCCTTCCTCACTGATCTTGCTGATCGCTATACAGGCTATTCCCCCTTTTTTTTTTTTATTTATCTCTTCTATTTCTCTTTTTTTCTTCTCTTTTCTGGTTCTGGATCTTCTTCCTCGCTGCTCCTCTTTTTTTTTTTTTTCTTGATTCTGATTCTGGTCCTACTGATTATGATTCTGCTCCTACAGAGTCTCCTTCCTCGCTGCATAGGTTAGTCTCTTTTTTTTTTTCTTTTTCTATTTCTCTTTTTTTTCTCTCTTTTCTGGTTCTAGATCTTCTTCCTCGCTTCCTCACTGCTCTTTTTTTTTTTCTTGATTCTGATTCTGCTCCTACAGAGTCTCCTTCCTCGCTGCACATGTTAGTCTCCTTTTTTTTTTTTTCCTGATTTCCTGATTGTGAGCGAAATTGGAGTGAACTGCTTTGACTGTGCTTCCTGATTGTGCCCTGATTCTGATTTTGATGTTTTGTTGTTCTGTTTTGCTGTCCTGAAATGTGATTCATTACATGTGTATAAGCGTACGAATGTACATAAAAATAGATTTACAAAAACAATTGTGGTTGATTGATATACTTTAACAAAAACACATTTGGGATATTATTAGTGTTTGTTTGAATTTAAATGTTTAAGCTATGACTGTTATTAAGATTTGAGATATTATTAGTGTTTGTTTTAATTTAAATGTTTATGGTTTTACTTGCATTTAAATATTTAGTATATATAAAATTAGAACTTAGATGTGTATAAGTAATTAAACTAAAATATTTATTTATTTTTTTAACTGTTCGCTTCGCTTCCCGCTTAGGCATTGGGAGCCTTGATCGCTTCGGTTCGCTTTATGCCTTAAATAACACTAGGCGAGGTTATCTCGCCTGGAGGACCCCAGGCGAAGCGAACGTGAGCGAAGCAAAAAAAAAAGCGAAAAAAGCGTTCGCGTAACGCTTAAGTGCAAGGCGAAAAAACGACCGCTTTTGTTATGAGAAGCGAAATTGTTTTATTTTTAATTTGGACAGTTGGATTGGGCGATTAGAAAAAAAATTATAAGATGTGATACACCGAATTATCCCCTTATCCAATAAATACAAACTAAACCCTAATTTAAATCAGATTTTTCGTTGGTCGTTGCTAAGGCTGAACTCCTACATACGATCGTTGGACTCGCTAGACTCCTACACCTGATTGCTGGACTCGATCGATAGAGACGATCGACTCTCTGTCGCTGCTCCTAAGGTTTCTTCGCTGCTCGTTGCTCACACTGGAGGCCGGACAAAGTCTCCTTCCTCACTGATCTTGCTGATCGCTATACAGGCTATTCCCCCTTTTTTTTTTTTATTTATCTCTTCTATTTCTCTTTTTTTCTTCTCTTTTCTGGTTCTGGATCTTCTTCCTCGCTGCTCCTCTTTTTTTTTTTTTTCTTGATTCTGATTCTGGTCCTACTGATTATGATTCTGCTCCTACAGAGTCTCCTTCCTCGCTGCATAGGTTAGTCTCTTTTTTTTTTTCTTTTTCTATTTCTCTTTTTTTTCTCTCTTTTCTGGTTCTAGATCTTCTTCCTCGCTTCCTCACTGCTCTTTTTTTTTTTCTTGATTCTGATTCTGCTCCTACAGAGTCTCCTTCCTCGCTGCACATGTTAGTCTCCTTTTTTTTTTTTTCCTGATTTCCTGATTGTGAGCGAAATTGGAGTGAACTGCTTTGACTGTGCTTCCTGATTGTGCCCTGATTCTGATTTTGATGTTTTGTTGTTCTGTTTTGCTGTCCTGAAATGTGATTCATTACATGTGTATAAGCGTACGAATGTACATAAAAATAGATTTACAAAAACAATTGTGGTTGATTGATATACTTTAACAAAAACACATTTGGGATATTATTAGTGTTTGTTTGAATTTAAATGTTTAAGCTATGACTGTTATTAAGATTTGAGATATTATTAGTGTTTGTTTTAATTTAAATGTTTATGGTTTTACTTGCATTTAAATATTTAGTATATATAAAATTAGAACTTAGATGTGTATAAGTAATTAAACTAAAATATTTATTTATTTTTTTAACTGTTCGCTTCGCTTCCCGCTTAGGCATTGGGAGCCTTGATCGCTTCGGTTCGCTTTATGCCTTAAATAACACTAGGCGAGGTTATCTCGCCTGGAGGACCCCAGGCGAAGCGAACGTGAGCGAAGCAAAAAAAAAAGCGAAAAAAGCGTTCGCGTAACGCTTAAGTGCAAGGCGAAAAAACGACCGCTTTTGTTATGAGAAGCGAAATTGTTTTATTTTTAATTTGGACAGTTGGATTGGGCGATTAGAAAAAAAATTATAAGATGTGATACACCGAATTATCCCCTTATCCAATAAATACAAACTAAACCCTAATTTAAATCAGATTTTTCGTTGGTCGTTGCTAAGGCTGAACTCCTACATACGATCGTTGGACTCGCTAGACTCCTACACCTGATTGCTGGACTCGATCGATAGAGACGATCGACTCTCTGTCGCTGCTCCTAAGGTTTCTTCGCTGCTCGTTGCTCACACTGGAGGCCGGACAAAGTCTCCTTCCTCACTGATCTTGCTGATCGCTATACAGGCTATTCCCCCTTTTTTTTTTTTATTTATCTCTTCTATTTCTCTTTTTTTCTTCTCTTTTCTGGTTCTGGATCTTCTTCCTCGCTGCTCCTCTTTTTTTTTTTTTTCTTGATTCTGATTCTGGTCCTACTGATTATGATTCTGCTCCTACAGAGTCTCCTTCCTCGCTGCATAGGTTAGTCTCTTTTTTTTTTTCTTTTTCTATTTCTCTTTTTTTTCTCTCTTTTCTGGTTCTAGATCTTCTTCCTCGCTTCCTCACTGCTCTTTTTTTTTTTCTTGATTCTGATTCTGCTCCTACAGAGTCTCCTTCCTCGCTGCACATGTTAGTCTCCTTTTTTTTTTTTTCCTGATTTCCTGATTGTGAGCGAAATTGGAGTGAACTGCTTTGACTGTGCTTCCTGATTGTGCCCTGATTCTGATTTTGATGTTTTGTTGTTCTGTTTTGCTGTCCTGAAATGTGATTCATTACATGTGTATAAGCGTACGAATGTACATAAAAATAGATTTACAAAAACAATTGTGGTTGATTGATATACTTTAACAAAAACACATTTGGGATATTATTAGTGTTTGTTTGAATTTAAATGTTTAAGCTATGACTGTTATTAAGATTTGAGATATTATTAGTGTTTGTTTTAATTTAAATGTTTATGGTTTTACTTGCATTTAAATATTTAGTATATATAAAATTAGAACTTAGATATGTATAAGTAATTAAACTAAAATATTTATTTATTTTTTTAATTGTTCGTTTTATTTCGGTAAATCGTTTCGCTTCGCTTCTCGCTTCTCGCCTAGGCGTTAGGAGGCTTGGTCGCTTCGGTTCACTTTACGCCTTAAATAACACTGGTCTTAACTAATTTTGAATACCAGGTTTTAGTTATGCACCTGTTTGCTGCTTTTACCATGCTTTATTAGTTTGTTGTATTCTATGATATTGTTTCATTGCTGGTGATTTGTACATTGTTCTTTACTATTTTGACCAACTGTAAATCGGCTTTGACCTCATCTGGGGACAACACACCTGTGCATACATGCATGCACACAGATGCATTTTGTTATTATGATTTTGCGAACTATTTGCTTAGCAGTTCTTTGGAATTCCCTTCCAGTATCAAAGCCCTAAAAATTTGCTATAGTTGCATCTAAACTCTAAATGTTGGCTAATTTTTACAGAATACTCCTCACATCGAGAAGGCTCCTTGTCCAAGTGATATTCCAACACCTTCCCAGACTCGTCAATTTGTTTGCAAGAGAGAAATGTCAGAGGATCCAGAACTCGTATCTTTAATCCAAGATAAAAGATCCAAGCATGATGATCCAAACTCTAGCTTTGCAAATGGTTCAGAAGATTCAACTACAACAAGTCAGGTTCCGGTCATCACAACTACCACAACAAATTTCTCTTGTGCTCTCTTGGAACTCCCTTTATTAGAATCTATTGAACCCAAAGACAGTCATCCAGTTAACCCGCCTACATTTGATTCTTCTAATCTTGAGAGTTCTGTGCCTCCTGGCTATTTGAAATTTATCAACAATTTAGAAAATGAGATACTTAATGTTTCTATGGAGAGGGAGACATTGAAGATTGAAGTGATGAGGGCCCAAGCCATGATTAACGTTCTTCAATCACGCATTGATCTCTTGAACAAGGAAAACGGGGACTTGCGAAGGCTCGTTCGGGGTGTCTAGCTGTTTGAGGCACTTGTGTATCCTAGTTTTGTTGCTGCTGGTCCAAGCCTAACATGCTTCAAAAGCTAATTAATTTTCTGGACAAGCAAGATGAGTAGAGGGCCGTTTGAGCTGTCTAGCTGTTTGTAGCGCCTATGTGATCTGTTTGTTTCTGTAGGTCATTGTAATCTGAAGAATGTATCATTAGCTGCTGACTATGTTGTGTCTTTCATAACAGTTTATTTCAATAAAGTTGGCTATCTGGATTATGATCCCAATGAAGATGAACTTACCTTAGTTGTATAAAAGTCGATCTTAGTTGCCCAAATCCAAATCTCGCGGTATTGGGTGCTATTCTTTCCACTTTTTGTAACTCTTAGATGATCAAGTTTATGGGGTGTCATGGTAAGGTTGATGCAGGGCACAGTAGAAAAGAGATGTCTATTTAGAGGGTTAACTGTGTGTACGTATGCCTTGGGAATGATTTAGCATTTTCTCTCCATAGATGTCGAACATAAAAGCTGGCAGCTCAAACCTTAGTGTCAACTGTCACTGAAGAAAATCTTACTCGAGCCTCTTTTGAACTTGTTAACCATCATTCTGAATATATATTCTTAGGTTTATCAAGAAAATTCTATGATACACTTCTCAAGGTTACAACAAATGATGTGTCAATTGGGCAAATATGTTATTGCATTGGGCAAGTGATGTGTCAGTTGAGCAAACGTGTTTTCAAGGTTGAAGCTATTGAATCTTTATTGTATATTGAAGATAAGTTCGTATTGCTTCAATTTTGCGAAGTATAATAAAGGTTTGCAAATTTGCTTCAATAATACTTCTCATTCTGTTTTGAAATATGTATTGCACAATTTGATTTAGATAGTTTTGAAGTTTATATTTGTCTTTGTTTGCATTATGTGTGAGACCATGACATGCATTGAACTACATAAAATTGAATGTAATAGTATAGTAGAAAAGATGTATTAAGTTTTGAGGAAAAGTAAAATTTTCTAAAATTTTAGGGAAATAAATGTAATTACCTAGTACTTTTGGTGAGTCATGCTAGGGATAGGGTAAAAGTTTGTTTAAGATGCATAAATTTCTATACAAGAAAAAGTAAATAATATTGGGGGTCAAATATGATTTTTGCGTAATTAAAAATATTTAAAGGATATGATGGGGGAAAAAGTGACCCAATGTGAAAAGCTTATTTGCCTATTTTCAGTCCAGCCCAGCTTGTGAAAGAGTCGTAGTCTAGAAAGATGACAAAATGCACCACGTGCGATAAGGTCAATCTCTTATATGAGTAATGTTACGTTGATCAAATTTTGGAATCAAATTTAAAATTTAAATGATATGACAGTTTTTTATTTGAAGTTTTTATTGGGGTTCAAATGACATAACACCAATCAAAGAAGCCCAAGTCAACTGCTATGTCATTTAAGCTCCAAATTTTATCCCAAAATTTGATCAGTCTAGCATTACTGTTATTTAAGAATAAGGTGCTAACTGAAGATAAGACCCATTCAAAGGGTTAACAATCTTACCCTAATTGAATTAAGGATTAGGAGGCCATAGTCTAATTCTAGTGCAACTTTGTTATTGAAAGAGCCTATAAATACAGCTCTCATCAACGTCCCAGTTATGTCACTCCTAAATTATTTAGTACCATTGAGTTCTTTAAGAATTAGAGGGTTGACATCTAAAACTTGTAGGAAAACAAGAGACAGAGAAAAGGAAATGATAGGCTAAAAAACAGAGGAGAAAATATAACTTTATTTGCTGCTGGAAAAATTCTGAATTGCATACAACTTTCAGATTACATGACTCTTAAATAGACCAATTTGTAAACAAATTTTCTTACTTTTACTCCAACTATGTCCTACAAAATAGTAACTTGCTAACTTATAGATAACAACTTGCACACTAATAGTCAGCATATGACTTATTCAACAAGAACTTAAATTGACAAAGTCCAACCTAAAAGACATAAGAATTTAACCAAGTTTGGATTACATCCAACAAACACCCCCTTAATTCAAACTTGTGGCTACACTCCCATCATGTCGCGAAACTACTTGAACTTTTCTTCGGGCAATGCTTTTGTGAAAATATCAGCCATTTGTTCTTCAGTGTTGCAATGTTCCAACTGCACTTGTTCTGTTGCCATGACTTCACGAATGAAATGATGCCGAATTTCGATATGCTTCGTCCTTCCTTGATGTACTGGATTTTTTGAAATTGCAATGGTTGACTTGTTATCGCAAAACATTCGTGTGGCCTCCTCTTGCTTCTCTTTGAAATCACACAAGATTCTCCTTAGCCATATTACTTGAAAAGCTATTGTTGTGGCTACAATGTACTCAGCTTCAGTGCTTGAAAGTGATGTAGTGAGCTGCTTCTTTGATGTCCATGATATCACTCCCGAACCAAGACTAAATACATAGCCTATAGTGCTTTTTCTGTCATCGATACAATCTGCCCAATCACTATCAGAAAATGATATAAGTTTAAAGTTAGTGACTTGTGTATAATGAATCCCATAATCAAGAGTGCCCTGTATGTATCTCATGATCCTCTTTGCTGCCCCAAGATGATGCTTGCTTGGATTTTGCATAAACCTGGAGATGATGCTCACAGAAAACATAATATCATGCCTTGTGTGTGTGAGATAAAGCAGTCCTCCCACAATACTTCTAAAGGACCTCTCATCAATAGTTCCAGTACCATCTACCACAACAAGTTTTTCATTCACATTCATAGGAGCCTTTGCAGGTGTACAATTTGACATACCAAATTTCTTTAACAAATTCAAAGCATATTTTTTCTGACTTACAAAAATTCCATTTGAATCTTGAATCACCTGAATTCCAAGAAAAGAATACAAAAGACCCAAAACTGTCATTTCAAAATTTTGCATCATCTTATCCTTAAATTCCCTGATCATCCTTGGAGAGTTACCAGTATATATCATATCATCAACGTATAAGCACATAATTAACAAGTCATCATTGGCAAGAGTTTTCACATAAAGAGTAGGTTCACTTGCACTTTTATAGAAACTATTGTCCAGAAAATACCTGTCAATTTTGCCATACCATGCCCTTGGTGCTTGTTTGAGCCCATAAAGTACCTTCTTTAACTCATACACCATGTGCTCTTTTCCCTCAATTTCATAACCTTGGGCCTGCACCACATACCCCTCCTCCTCAAGTTCTCTATTAAGAAAAGTAGATTTAATATTCAATTGGAAAACTTGCCAATTCCTTTGAGCCGCTACAGCGAAAACAGTCCTAATATTGTCATCTTAGAAACCGGTGCAAAAGTTTCAAAGAAATCAATACCTGGTTGTTGTGTAAATCCCCTAGCAACCAGTCGTGCTTTGTGCCTTTGTAAAGACCCATCAGAATTAAACTTTGACTTGTAGATCCATTTAAGTCCAACAACTTCCTTCCCGACAGGTAGATCTACCAAGTTCCAAGTGTTATTCTTCTCAATTGCTTCAATCTCATCATTAATTGCACTACACCATTCTTTATTTGTCACTGCTTCTTCAAAACAAGTATGTTCCATAGCAAAACAAGCAAACTCACATGAATCAAAGATATCAGCAAGACTTCTTGCCTTTCGAGGGGTTGAATCACGAGATGAGCTTGATGACTCACTCAAATTTGTTGGAGGAATCATACGAGCAGCTAGTTCAAAAGAAACTTTTTCTTCATGTTTCCAATTCCAAGCTTCATTCCCATTAAATATAACATCTCAACTTATAATCAATTTTTCAGAAATAGGATCATAAAGTCGGTATCCTATAGTCTCCTCACTATCGCCTATGAAAATGCACTTTGTACTTTTGTGATCTAGCTTATGTCTTTTCCATGATGGCACAAAAGCATAAGCTATAGAACCAAAAATCCTTAAATGACTTACACTGGGTTTCTTTCCTCTCCAAGCTTCATATGGAGTTCTTTCTTGCACCGCCCTTGTAGGAAATTGATTGATAAAATAAACTGCTATTGACACTACTTCAGCCCAATAGCTATTTGAAAGATCCTTGTCTTTTAGCATACTTCTTGCCACTTCAACTATGGTTCTGTTTTTGCGCTTTGCCACTCCATTTTGTTGTGGAGTGTAACTTGCTGTCAACTGCCTTTGGATACCCATATCAATGCAAAACCTGCTGAATTCTAGAGAAGTAAACTCACCTCCACGATCAGTACGCAATATAATAATAGAATGACCACTTTGTTTTTCGACAAGAGACTTAAACTTATTAAATGTAGAGAAAGATTTAGATTTTTCTTTCAAGAAATAAACCCATGTCATTCTACTATAATCATCAACAAATATGATAAAGTACTTGTTCCCATTCAAAGATAGTGTTTTCATTGGACCACAAAGATCAGCATGCACAAGCATTAATGATCTATTTGCCCTCCAAGCTTTACCAACCGGAAATTGTTCACGATGATGTTTCCCAAAAACACAAGCTTCACAGATTTTCCATCAGATTTCACAGTTGGAAAACCAACTGTCATGTTCATCTTATGCAATAGATGTAAGTCACCAAAATTCAAATGACCATATCACCTATGCCACAACACAGATTCTTCACTACATGCACTAAATGCATTAAATGGAAGCTTTGAAAATGAAAGAGGAAACATTTTATTTTCTGTCATTTGAACAGAGAATATCAACTTCATGCTTTTCTTCTCATAAACCATACACTTATCAATATAAAATATGGCATAATAGCCCATTCTCATCAATTGACCCAAACTAAGCAAATTTTGAGCCAACCTAGGAGCATACATAACATCATAAATGAGTTTTCTTCCTTTCTTTGTATCAACAGCAATAGTACCAAGTCCCTGCACCTTGACTTGGTTGTTATCTCCCATTCTTACTTGCGGGTTGATAGATTCATCAAGATCCACAAAGTATTTTTTATTCTCAGTCATGTGATTGCTACAACCACTATCTAAATACCAAATTTCATCATTCATTTCAGCAAGACA